ATAAAGTTTAGTGCATAAAATGATGTCGTTTTAGGCATTAATAGATGTACTAAAACGATATTATTTTGCCAATGCCATCACATCATTTGGATTTTAAGACTCAATGACATAATTGAAGTGGAAACCAAAGTTTAATGATATAATTGACAAAATTGAAAGTTCAACGGTATAAATTAACTAGTATTCAATCTATTAACCAACTATTTAGATTAGATTTTATAGAGGCCCATATGAGGACGACCCTCTCAACACAATTTGCTCTGTTGACAAATGTCAGGGTTCGAATCTCTTTACTTAAGAAATCTAATATCTCATCTTACTGGACCAACTTATTGTTGTTGATTACGTAATTTAATATTTAATTAATTATAATTATAATTATTAAGTTATTGAAAAAAAGTTATAACTTGAATTTTTTTAAAAAGGGCGAAGGCTGAAACCGTAAATTCAGATTTGGCAAAGTAATACTGTTATGTCTCATCGTAAACGTTCAACTCCCCACTTCCGGATTTTGCTAGGCCAAAACAGTATGTATAAAAACGAACCCCCAAACGTGACTCAATGCATAACAGAAACTCCTAAGGCTCTCCCTCACCTAACCCAACTGCCCTTTCTCTAGTAATAATCGAACTCCCCTTTCTGTCTCTTTCCTCACTTGTCGTCGTCGTCGCCGCCGCATAACTACCCCCATGGCTTGTGTTAGCTTGGCTAAGCTCAACGCGCCTTCGTCCACTTGGATCGGCGGCCAGCAGTCTTTCTCTCAACGATCCGGCTCGTCAACTCGGCTCGCCACTCGCAGAGTCTCACTCCCGATCCGTGCCGGCGCTTACACCGACGAACTCATCAAAACCGCCGTTAGTGTTTTCATTGATCTCTCTTTTCATTTCCTTTTCAAGTTTTAGAAGATCATTTCATATTGCGTTGTTAGATTTTTTTTGGTGGCTATAGATTGATCGATTGTCGTGAAAAGATTAAGATCAGCTTATGTACAATTGTTTTCCTTTAATCTGTAAATCAGAAATTAGTTTTTACTTGCAAATTGATTGGCGTCTGGTATAATAGCATGTTACTTTCATTGATGCTTGATGGACACATGGTTTTGTTACAATTTAACCTTCTATGTTAACTGTTGATATTTACGTTATTAATCACAATAATATTCGTTACATTTGCAACTTTGATTAAGGCCGTTGACCGATTTGCAATCGTAATTTAAATTCATGAATGGAGAATTATGAGAAATTTTGTGGGCTAGCCAGCTTGATGAAGGAGACTGATGAATTGTTTTTTAATTGATTCTTTCTTGGTGTAGAAAACTATTGCTTCCCCTGGTCGTGGAATCCTGGCAATTGATGAATCGAATGCAACATGTGGGAAGAGATTATCTTCTATTGGTTTAGACAACACCGAACCCAACCGCCAGGCTTACAGACAGCTTCTGCTCACAACTCCTGGCCTCGGAGAATATATTTCTGGCGCCATTCTTTTTGAAGAAACACTTTACCAGTCGACAACAGACGGGAAGAAGTTTGTTGATGTCTTGCATGACCAGAAAATCGTGCCTGGCATCAAAGTAGATAAGGTAACACTGCTGAATTTCCACATTTATACACCTTGAGAACTCCTTTTGTTGGTACGCACTAATTCAATCTTTTGCATTCCCGTGTTTTAGGGTTTGGTTCCTCTACCTGGATCAAACAACGAATCTTGGTGTCAAGGCTTGGATGGATTGTCATCAAGATCGGCTGAGTACTACAAACAAGGTGCTCGATTTGCCAAGTGGTAAGTCAATTTTACATAGTTAACTTGTGCCTTAGGAAGTTCAAATGAAAGTTCTGGTTGGTTTATATATATATATTTGTACACATACATGTATTGCAGTTCTCATTCTTGAACTGATGTATTCATTAAAATACTCAGGAGAACAGTCGTCAGCATTCCTTGTGGTCCTTCTGCTCTGGCTGTTAAGGAAGCTGCTTGGGGACTTGCACGTTATGCTGCCATTTCTCAGGTATTGATAGGTTTTATCAGTTTCTTATAACTCACTGAAACAAATGCAAGGCTCGTTATTTCCCTACTCAAAATTGAAGTTCTTGTAATTCGTGAATGGAAATTAGATTAATTTTCAACTTTCTTCTCAAATTCTGGCATGAGTTCGACATTGGCTTGGCTAGTTTAGCTGGTACTTGTTCTCATGTTATATTATAGTTGGTTTTCATATAGAGCGCAATTGTATGTTAATGTGAATTAATATCCAGGACAATGGTCTTGTGCCAATTGTGGAACCCGAGATTCTTCTCGATGGTGACCACCCCATTGAGAGGACCCTTGAAGTAGCTGAGAAAGTCTGGGCAGAAGTCTTTTACTACCTGGCTGAGAACAATGTTATATTTGAGGGCATCTTACTCAAGCCTAGCATGGTAACCCCAGGAGCTGAACACAAAGAGAAGGCTTCTCCTGAGACTATTGCCAAATATACACTCACCATGCTGAAAAGGAGAGTTCCACCAGCAGTTCCGGGAATCATGGTACCTAAACCCCCTTATTCATATCTAGACTCCATTCGTTTGATGTTTTTGAATTTAGGTTTCTGCTTTTCATTTTTGTTTTTCAAAAAAATGAAGAAATATATATATTTTTTTTAGAAAAAGAGAAAGGAAGCTAAAGAAAAATATCAAAAACATCAACCAGTGGAACTTTAATTTGTAATTCAAAATCCAGTTACTTACCCCATTGGTGTGGACTGTTAGGTTGATATTGGCATGCATAAGTAAATTGTAATGATGTTTGGGTGAAATGACATGAAAAAGTTATCAAAGCCTTTACTTTTAGAAGTTTCATCATGCAAGCTCTTATGTCTTGATTCTTAAAGCATGTTTGATCTATTCTTCTATTTTGTTACCTACACATTTGATCTATTTGGAGAAGCTTTGATTAATTAGGTGTACACATTTGTTTATCTTGCAGTTTTTGTCTGGAGGACAGTCCGAGGTTGAAGCTACGTTGAACTTGCACGCAATGAACCAAAGCCCCAACCCATGGCATGTTTCATTCTCATACGCACGTGCATTGCAGAACACTGTGCTTAAGACATGGCAAGGACGTCCTGAGAATGTTGAAGCTGCCCAGAAGGCTCTTTTGGTGCGTGCAAAGGCAAATTCTCTGGCTCAACTCGGAAAGTACTCAGCCGAGGGTGAAAGTGAAGAAGCCAAGAAAGGCATGTTTTGTTAAGGGCTATACTTATTAGGCCTTTAAGTTCGGGCAAACGACTTTCAAGTGTTATTTCTGGTTTTCTCTTTCTTTCTTTTTGGGTTGGCTGTGTGTGGCTCTTTGAGTGAGGATTACTTGCTTTTAGATAAAGTTTTTAAATTTTTGTTTTCATGCCTCCTGAATAACTAGAGAGGTTGAATAAATTACACGGGAGAGTAGAAAAGAAAAAAAAACATTCCTTGAACCACTTCCCTTGGCACTTTGAGTTTACTCAATCAATTTGTTTGGTCCTTTTGAGTTATTTGGTTTTTCAAGTTTGAGTTGGATTGAAATTTTATAATTTAATTAAATATAATAACTTATATTTTACCAATTGACTAATCTGCTACGGGTCTTCTTTTTCCTATAACACCCTATTTGGTAATTGTGTTTATTATTGGGTATTCGAGATGTTGGGTATCCGGTTTTTCGGATATAAAAAGTCATCTTGTGTACTGCCCAAGCTATTCCCGAGACCATGTATGGTATAAAGAAGCTCAATCTGGCTATAGAGAACCTTGTAGTGTTTAGTGACACCTAAAGTAAGAAAGGTCTTGGATAATATTTGGATGAATACTTGTCTTGAATTTGACAGGTTCTGACTCAACTTGATAAAATTGATTTTTTTAAAAGATAAGATTTGAGTCGGGTCAGATTTATACCCTAAACCGATGCCGAAATGGTTGGTAATTTTTTGGTCGTCCATGGGATTGGCTCTCATGGTCATGGAAACTGCAGCAAAATGGGACGATAATTCTGGCTATTCTTTTGGTTATTGAATGTAACTTTTATCATAAACTGTAATGCATATTATTCTATTATTTTGTTGTTGGGATTAGGATAGAAAAATATGCTTTTATTCACTCATGGTTTACCACCATTTACTTACCACTGTATTACATTTAACCACCTTTTTCTTGCAATGAACTCTAATTTATTGGTTTTATTCATATAAGAATCATTATTCATACCCTTACTAACATCCACTCCAATCCAAGCATAGCCATGCGAATATGATTATCCTTAAATAGACCTTTTAACATGTTATTAAATATTTTTAACTGTGATGATAATATTTTCAAATGAAAATATTATCATCACTTTCTACTCCATCCAATCGGATGGCTGTTCACTTGAAAAACGAGAAAGTATAAAGTTAAAACTTGTCACCAAACTATACTAAAATTATCTTTATAGTTATTAAATTTTTAAAAATTATAAAATGAATCATATATTTTTTATAGTTGAATTTAGTTCAAATACCAGTTTTCTGAGTTATCTAAAGTAGCATTCAGATAGTATCAATTTTAATTAATTTATCATTCAATTTTGTTCTTGGGTAGATAGAAAGCGAAACTGCAAGTGAGGAGAAATATAAATGTTTTTATTATTTGTAAATATTTTCTCAAAATTATAATTTTAAAAATAAATTTTTTATATTTTAAAATTTATTACTTAAAAATACTAAAAACATCAAAATCGAAATTTTAATTACAATTGAAACATCAAATGAGACATTATTCATTAATTTAATCTATCACACCATTCCTTTAACAACAGTTAGAGAGCAACTAACAACATAATGCTTATTATATAATAAAATTAAAAAGTTTAATATTTATTTTATAACTAATAAAAAAATTCATTTTAGGGACCGTTTGTGAATTTTACCCATAAAGAAATATTACAAAAGCTAAAAATATCACCTTCTAAGGTTAATCTCAGAGAAATTTGTACCATGTATTGAAGACTTATGCTAGACAGTGCCTGCAATTGATATATTGTGCCACTAGACTGCTCAGTAAGACTTCAAATACAGAAAAGAGTCTGGAAAAAATGTAAAATAAAGATGGGCATTTCAGAACAATTTTCCTTCACATATCCATTTCTATCTATAGATATATCTAGTCCATGACGGCAACGTTCTGCATTTTATTTGTTAACTCTGTTGTGCTGAAGCAATCGATTTCGGATTCCATTTGTTTTAAAACGGTTCTCAATCCACCGCAAGCCTCAACAAACGGCTCTGCAGATGTTTGAAAACTATCAACCTCTTGCTGCATTCCATTGATGCTACTTGATATTTTCTCCAAAGCTAGTTTTATTGCATCAATCTCTTGAGGGGGGTAAAGACAGGCTCCAATTTCATCGATCTCTGCTCCAACACCTTGACATATCTTCAATAATTTCTCCAAAGAATCCACAAATTTACCATTGTCATCTGGGGTTTCTAGCTTAAGCATACCAGTGATAGTGCGGATAAGTTCCTTTATAACCACAAGTGTCCGGGACACGACCCCTTGAGCGAATTGAGCAACTTTCATTTCTTCAGGCGACAAGTCACTGCCTAGATCATCATCACTTAAATCCTCATCTTCAGGCTTGCTTTCAGCTTTGCTAGGAGTGTCATCAGAGGTTCCATTCCCGAGGTCAGAGGAAGCAGGCTTCAGCTCGTTCATCTCACGAACAACATCCTTCACAGAAACGGCTACCTGCGTCATTGCACGCCCAATCGCTATCACGTTTGTGGCGGGGACCTTCTTAAGAGCAGAACATGCCTCCCATACTGCTCCAACAAACTGAGGCATTGAAAGTTTCTTCTCCTTATTGTGAGATCCTGCTAGAATTGAACAAACTGAGGCATCGAAAGTTTCTTCTCCATAAACAGATTTTGTTCAAAAAGAAAGCTGATGCACGCAAATAAGGCCTCGGGAATATAGAATGCACCATTAGTTCTGTATTAACTTTTCTTCCTTCTTTGAGATTGCAATCATAAATCATAATGCCTAATGAACTGCAAAAACTAAGGAGACTCCAAACACAAAGAATGACATGAATGCTTTATGAAGCAGTCCAATCAATGACCATCAACCCTATTGGTAATCAGATGATTGCATACTATATAAAGTAACAAACCGTATATAGCAGTCCAAAATTAATAACAAAATTCATTGCAAGAGAAGTATGAATAATTACTTATACATCAGGACATCGGCTCAAACAAGCAACTTCGAAAATGCTTTAAATATTGACATGCTTTAAAAGACCGGTGGGGGGGCTATATCCTTACAAAGTACTAGTAACTCTTTACTGGTAGGGAAGGTGTTAGATTTAGTACTGATTCTCAAGTGTTCTGCACATCTTTTGACACCCCTTTAGAAAACACTACCCGATTATCTCTACTGTTTCTGTTCTCAAAGTTCAGTAAAGAAAAGAACTCAAACCCAAAGGGGAAAAATGTTGCCAGACCAAGTGTCACATTTATGAACAAAACTAAAACTTCATTTTCGGCTGACAGAATAAACCATAGACCTGTTCCCCCTAGATTTTAATGCTTGTCTGGATTTCAATATTATGCTATGATATGCAATTCTAAGAAAGAAAGAGAAAGAGAGAATTGTTTTACCATATAACGAGACATGTTCCTTCATTAACCTAAAACTGGAATCAACAACGTGCTTAACGGATTCATGGATGCTTGAAGATAGAGTTGGACCAGCACCAACATTGCTTCCATGGGAGAGCAAAAGGAAGCCCTGCAGCACATTGAAAAATGAATTCATGGTCTCCTCAACTTGTTTAGCATCAGGTGATTCTCCATTCCAAAGCATTCCAGCTGTTAAACAAATAGAAGAAGCAATCACTAGTCTCAGTCAATCCAAAGTGTCACACAGAATTATGGTGGAAAACAAAAGAAACCCATATGTCAAGCAATTCCTTTCGGAATGAAACAAAAGAGAATCTTGGAAATCACTAACTAATAGAAGCAAACAAAAAATTAAATCTTGTCATGAAATGATGTTTCTTGTCAAGCTTATATCATAGTTATAGGTTAATCGTTTGCAGATCATAATAATGAGGGGAAAACCCAGACCCAAAACAGAAAATTCATGAAGAAAATAAATAGGCGCACCGATAGTAGCTTGCTTGGAAACTTGGTCACCAAGCTGGATAACCTGAGCCCACGCCACCTTCTCCATGGAAGGAGGAGTTTGATCCAACATCTAGATATAGTAACGCAGGAAAAAAGGGTTCAAATAAGCACAAAAAACAATGATAAGGTAAAGAAGAAGAAGAAGAAGAAAGAACCTGTAAGGTTTCATGGATGGAATTGAGATGGGCGATGAGTGCCCGATTCAGCTGTTCTTTCTCTGCTTTTCCCATCACTGTCTTTCTGATTCTTCAGGCTCCCCTAGCTATGAAACCCCTTTTCTAGGGCTTATTATGCGATATATTTAGGGGAAAATTATAGTGACAATAATTTTATGGAAATTTTTTTATTACCAATATATATATGATTATTTTTTTAAATCATTCACATTTTTAATTATATACCAATTTTTTTTATTAATACGGAGATATTATATATTTGAAATTCTCTCAACTATTTGACAATAAACGTTTATATATTCTTGCATATGTGATTTTCAAAATTGTTTGTTTCATGCTATAATAAAAATTCTTCGATACGAACGTTTTTGTAATTATATATATATATATATATATATAAGAATTTGAAGTACTATTACTGTTTGGAATATAAGATTTATGTTTAAGATTTAAAATGATATAATTTAGTATTTAAGAACTAAAGCTTTAAATTTTAAAATTTACAATTAACATAATTAGATTGTATAAAATAAATTTATATTAAATAATCGTTATCTTTTAGGAAAATAGGACGTTTTTTTTCTTATGCCAATAGTTTAAAAGAAGAAGAAAATTAGAAATCTACACCATTCAACATATTATGTACGACGGCTCTGACTGCTACTACTATTGTTGTGGAGAGCGATTCAAGAAATTTGGTTACTCAATTCCTCTCTCGGACTACTCATCTCTCGGTTGCAAGCTTCCATCTCGTTACTGCTCGTCAACTTTTGGCTTCGCATCCCTCCATTCAGGTCCGTTATATCAGACGTTCAGCTAATCAGGTTGCTCATTCTCTCGCACAATGGTCCTCCTCATCAAATCGATCTATCTACTTTAATCGTGAATGTCCTAGTTTTTTATTTGATCTTGTTATGGATGATGTTCTTAATGCTTAACATCAGTATGTATTTCCTTCAAAAAGGGGGAAAAACATATTAGGTACAAATCTATTATTTTCAATTATTTCCGAACAGATCTGTAATTTCTTTTAAATTTGACAAGTATTTTCATTTTAACCCTTCCATTCTCCTTTTTATCCACGTTCAATTTCAACAATCCTTTTTATCGATTACATATAAAAATGAGGAAATTAATGCCTAAAATAGGCCTTGTTTCAATCGAGGTTGAAATTAACTTTTATAAAATTTAGATTTTCTCGTTGTCCTAAATTTATGAGCATAATACTTCAGGAGTGTAATGATCACTTGAACTCGACATTTATCGTCAAACTAATTACCCACGAGTTTAAGTTTCATGATACTTGAATTCAACCAAAATAGCAAAAGGAATTTTGTACGTAATTGACTTAGATTTTACTAAAGCTGGTCCAAAATCACCTCTAATTATTGTCAAATTCTTTGTTTGATTTGACTGTCACAATTTGTCCGATATTAAGTGGTTACAACTCAAAATCACTTAGCTTATCTCCTGTTCCATGCATTTTTAATTAAAATTAACCATATACTAATTAAAATATAACAATAAATTAAAGTAAATAATTGAAATATATATTTTTAAAATTAATTATTAAAAGAAGATAAATAAAAATTACCTATAGTGTCATTTACTTTATTATTACCATTTGCCAAGTATCACTGATGTTTCTGAAACGTGGCGTTATTAGTAGAAAAGTTACCTTTAAAAGTGGACATAATGTATTCTCTAAACTTATCAATGACTTCTAAACGTTCTCCTAAAATTCATTAGTTCTAACATCAGTGTATAAAGGATGTGTACGTTATCAACCAGTTAATTTTTTTTTTGAGTTGATAATATCTTATAATCACCACAAACTATTAAAAAAATATATACTCTTTCCCAACACCAAAATTCAACTCGAAGTTGGCTTTCACCAAAATCATTAGAAACTTAAACGAATTAAGAGTTTATTAGCCAAGCATGCTTTCACTGTTGGCCATAGTAAGAAAGAATAACTATCAGCCTTTTCCTCCACAATCATACAACAAATAATTATAAGCTCCATTTGATATCCTTCAAAAGTTCATTAGGATCTTCTCCTTGGAAACTCCATCTGCTACAAGTATTGAACTCACTTCCTGCAAAAACCAACAACTGTTATCTTGCATACACATTCCAACTCCACACCGTTATCATCAGCTGCTATTTCACTGAATCATTGCCTGACATTTATCAAGTGAACTGGCTTCACTCACTCTACATGAAACACTGAGCTTCTTCATACAGCCCAGGGTCTCATTAGATTCTTCCCTTGGTCTTTGCCACCTCAACTTTTCATTCAAGGTCAGCCCCCTAACCTTAGGCTTTGCTTGGTAGGGTGGAAAGGAAATCGAAAGGATAGAAAATTAAAAGGGTAAACAAAGTGAAAAGATGAAAATTCAATTTTTTATTTTTTATTTACTTTCCATTAGTATGCTTGGTAGGAATGACTCAATTTGCAATTTCATTCTGTTTAATGTTTGGTAGAGTTGAAAATGAGAGGAAAGAAAATTAAGCTTTAGAAAATACATATTTTGAACTAACTCATATCTCTCTCCTCTTTTCTTTCCAAGTGGAATGATTTATTTTTACACATAAGGATGGAAAATGATCATATTTTCTTTCCAGTTTTCTACTCCCTCCTTCAGTCCTTTCATTTCCCCACCCAACCAAGCAACGCCTTAGAGATGGTTACCTCATTCAATTCCATCTCTCAGCCATAATTTCATCTAGCAGTTAAGATTTTTTCATTCCACGCATAGGCTAGAAATAACCGAAGAATGCAAAACTCAGGCCCAATGTTCCATAAATAAGTCTTTACATGTGAATGAATATAACAGCACCTAAGCACTTGACTTAGTGGTAAGTGCATATATGATTAAATTTCAACTCGAATAACTTCAATAAGACTAAAGTTCAACTCGAATAACTTCAATAAGATTTAAAATTCATATTCTACAAGAAATAAAAAAAAAAAACAAGAGCACAATGATTAAGTAGACTGCAGCATTATTTAAAGCACATCGGGGTGTTCATTTGGTTAATTTGGTCACCGACCGAACAGAATTTGGTTAATTCGGTTACCTAATCGATTTCAAACCGAATTAACCATTAACCGAATTTTGAAGAAAAAAAATTAACCGTTCCCCGACCAAACTAATTCGGTTCAACTAGCAAATTTTTCCTATTTTTAAAAGCAGAGAAAGCATGAATCAATTTCTAATGAATGAAATCATTGAAAAATTTGCATCTCAAGGAAAATTAAATTAGAAAAGAACTAATAGATATCTGCAAAAACGCATAAGTACAAATATTAAACAAAGAAGTCACTGAAAATAGTTCAACTAGCAAAAAATAGCAACAAACCTCAGTCATTTGTCTTTGTCCACAAATCACGGCACTAGTGCCCTTAGGGCTATAAATTTGCTTGGCCCTAGCAAAGGCAGCCTGCAAAAGTCAGAGCAGGTTGCAACAATTTGATTATTATGGCATCAAACAATCTTAAGATATGGATGTGAAATTGTGAATAAGCACTCTACCTGTACATAGCCACTTTCACCGGTCCAACCATCATCTGGCTGAGATAATACTGGCACAACCTTGACACCCGAAGATTCCCAGTCTTTAAACCGATCCTTTAATAGGAGAACACAAACAAGAGCTTCAGTACCAAACATAAGATTAGCTTATTCTAGAAAACTAAAGTCTAACAAAAAGGACAAGCAAGCCCCAGACCTGGTAAGCCATTCTCCTAAGGTTTCTAGCCCCATAATAGAGCCTCACATCAGATCTCTTATCAGCACCAAATCCTGATTCAATGAGAGAGCGAATTGGACTGGAAATGAGGAAGTAAAGAGAACAAGTAAGCTACAATGCTGCAGGGAACATACAATTAAGGGCTTTTAAATGCCATGTACTGTATTCCCATTTGGAGATATCTTTACAATCAACAACACAAGTTACCGAGTAAAAAGAAGAAGAACAAAGGGAAGTGATGCAGAAGCTATTATTTTTTTTATGTTAATTCATTGTTTCTGTTTTGTTTATGAACTGTTAGGTATAAGCAGAGGATTAAATCTTTAGAGTATTAATCAAGGGCTGCAACCGAATCTTTATTTGTATTCTCCAATTAAATAGCTGAATTATAGATTTGCACCGCCTTACTATTTTCTTCACTTAATATGCTTCAGGAACTAAAAGTTTTTATAATCCTATGTTTTCAAGAATTTCAACATCTTACTCTCTCTTTTTTCAGCCTCAATTCTAGTGATTTACTGTTATTTCCCCATAATCCACACCAATTTTGGTATTAGAGCCTAACTAGACCCAAGAGTTAAAAGTGGAGTTCGTTTTTATGTCATGTTGGACACCGTAGAGGTCAAGGACGAGGAAATCAGGGAAGATACAAAACCGGCTGTGATATTACATGTGATTGAAGAGTTGCCATACATAATTTATGCTAGGCGGCAACAGGAACCAGTACCCAGATGGAATTTCTGGAAGGTAAACTTAAAATTAGCATATGGGAACATATGAAAGCAAAATTTCCGGAGCAATTCTTACCAGCTAATTATGCATAAATTTGTATGAGAAGCTACAGTTGCTAAAGAAAAAGATATTTTTGGTGGGTATACTTCTAAATTAACAATCTCTCTATTATCATGATATGTTGAAATAGAAAGATGGTTAAGGGATTAATCTTCTTTCAAAATAAGAATCACAATAAAGAATGATCACATTTCCACATCATGTGTGCCAATAATAAAACAACAAACTTCATTTTCCAATTTGGTTAGGTTTTGAAAACAATTCAAGCAAAATAATGCTCAACCTAATATACATAGCAAGTCCGGGGAATGAGTGCATTAGTTATACTGAAAGGGAAAAGTGTTATTGCAAAAAGAAATGCATACATAGAAAACAAATCCCATGAGCATGCAAGTCCAGAAATCCATGGCAACTATTCGTCCATCTCTAAATAGTAACTATTAAATGCTTTAAAACACAGATGAAGTTGACAAACTAAACAATCATATGCTATCATGAATGAAAACTTCCGATCAGATATCATCAAATTCATGCTGTTCAATCTGAAAACTATGAAGATTCAAACAGCTGGTTTTACGCTAAAACTATAAATAAAAAAGAATAAAGGATATTGAGCACGAAAACCACACAAAATTGGCCAATTAAAATATACTAGTTTAAAAATTGGGTGGCCAACAAACACTGATTCATCCTTGAAGTGACAAAAGGACATTATATGAGACCATATACTGAACGAACATCCAGACATGATTATGCACGAAGAGAGAAGTGTAAATTTCTGAGCTCCAGAGAGCATCATCACAAGTTATCACAGAAAAAGCCAACAGATTTGAATCATTTCTCAGAGAATGCGCATACACAATTGTCCATTCTAAACCTTAAAAGCATCACCAGGGATTTGCTCAAATATAATGTAAGAATAAGAACAAAAACTGGACTGCAAAATGTTCCAACAAATTTTCACCTAATTGAGCAAACTCCAATGCCAATATGTTCAAATTTCATAAGAAACCAAACATGATAACTCAATAAAGCTTTAGTTTAAAGTTAATTAATCTAAATGCGGCTTAATAGATGCCTTTTAGCAAAACAAACAGAAAAGTGAAACCCTAACCTGATTCCTGACCCAGTAGCGAAAATCAAAACCGTCGGATAATCCTCAGGCGGATCGATTTTATCAATATTAAAGCCGTTTCCCATAGCTTGAGTAAGGTCCACCACATCCCCTTTCTTTAACCCGCACAAAAGCTCCGCCGTCGACCCCGCTACGCTCTTCACCAAAAACTCGAACGCTCCAGTTGATGCCGCCAGTGATGGAGGAGACGCTATGGCCAGGAAAGAAGGTTTCTCCACATCAGGGAGCCGAAGCTGGAGGTACTGTCCCGGTAAGGTATGCGAGGACACGAGGTCAGGAGAGTTCGACACGTCGACGCTAACGTGGAATAGGGACTCGGCGGCTATCTCGATTGATGAGATCGGTGATGGGGTCCAGACGGTGGTGTCTTGCCGAACTGCGGCGAGAATAGCGAATCGACGGCGAGTGAGGCGATGGCGGGGGGTCAAGGAGCGGAAGGGGAGTCGGCGCAAGATAGACATGGGAAGGGGAGGAGCGCTAAAGGGCGCATGTGGTACAGAGGGTGTAAATGTAATGACGGTCATGGTCTCTGTGGTGAACTATGAACGAGTATAAAAGATGGCTGCGGTGGCGGGGACTAGGGAGAGAGGCGGCGCTAAAGGTGGGCTGGATCCGATGAGTTGGCTTTTCATAAAAATGAGCCATGAGCAACTTTTAGAGGCTCCACGTGGCATTTCAATGTTATGATATCCTAATTCCGAAGATAAGCAGTGGGGGCCACTTCATTTAGGGTTTCTTGGGATTTGTCTTTTTGATGATTTTTTAGTTCCATTACATAATGTAAATTGAAGAGGATATTTTGAAATTATAATGAATTTGGGTGTCATGGCATACCCACTCATTACTAAGAGTGTATGAACATAGAGTTTTATAAATTACTCATAAATTATTTATATAACATACATTTATTAAATTAAATAAATAAATATAAATAAAAATTTATATTCATTTAATAAACAAATAAAAATATTTACATATTTGCTTCATCTATATTCATAAATAACCTCATTTATTCACCCGCTTATCAACACACTTAATAGATATAATCACCCCATAGACACACTTAATAGATATAATCACCCCATAGAGATCTGAACAAATTAGATCAATTGAATCCATTCTTAATTTTTCATAATTAAAAACTGGAAAAAAGCGTGCATAATTTACCAAAAATTTTATTTATACAACAAATCGATTTTGTTTAAAAGAAATACAAAAGTTTAAATCCCATTTTAATTACATCCAAAAAAATTCTGCCACAAAAGAAGTATCTCACTACCACAAATTTAACGCCAATAATAGGTAACAATAACCTTAGTCCACATTAAAGCACATGTAAATGTTTACATCCATCAATCATTTAAAAAACTTATCAAACACTAGAATGGGATGCTGCGCGACATTTTGGATGATCAATCAGAGCGTTATTTCAATTGTTTTTTTTTAGAGATTTCTAAGAGTGATCTTCAGGATACTTCCCATTGGGGTCAACTGCATTCTCAGACAGATTATTATTCACTTCTGTCAGATGATGCAGATTTTCCCCTTCATCAGTATGTGGTCAATGCCGGTGAGGGTGGTGGTGACGCTTACCACTACTATTGTGCCTTGAATCGTGAGTGTCGTCTGATGAGTTACCTAATGATCGGCCTCTTGGATGAAGTATCTCATCATTGGAATCTATTGAACCAGAGACCACATTATTTGATAGACGATGATGCTTATTGTGGTTCACATGGCTTTGCCTTCTGGGAGCATCAACAGCTTCATCACTTGATGACTCTGAATCACTAGACCCTCCCTGATGACGGCCTTTGTGGAGTCTTCCGTGGCTTTTCTTTCTATTTCTACGATCATTGTCATCACTTGAAGAATCTGAAGTACTAGACACTGAACTCCAACGGCGTTTGTGATGCCTTGCACGACTTCGTTTGACTATCTCATTGTCATCATTATCTGAGTAGACAATAGATTCTGAATCTGATCTTGAATTATGATGCTTCCATTTTTGGCAGCTTCGCCTTTTCCTCCTCTCTTCTTCAGAACTACAATCATATTCATCACTGCTGTCATAACTGGAGCCTGGTGAAAGTCCCTTAGACCTTTTCTTTGACTTCTTCTCCTTTTTCCTCTCATTGTCACCTGAATCACCATGGGAATTCTTTCTATGCTTTTTATGGGATCTTCTTCTCCTTTTTATTCCTCCATCAGTACTATCACTCTCACTGTCAGTATCAGACTCATACCTTTTGTGCTTCACCCTCTTTGACTTCTTCTCTTTGGCTTCAGCATCCAGTCTCGCCTTTGCAGCAGCTTCTAACTTCTGCTCCCATTTCAAAGGGGCTTCTTTCTTCTCTAAAGCTCTCTTCTTCTTCTCCTCGACCAATTGGATGAACTTCTTGCAGTCCATTTATAAAAGAAAACCAACTCAATAACTGCATTTTGGTATGATGATGGCCGGAAGTACATCTCACAGAAGAGAAAAAACAATGTTAGTTCTTCCATCATTTGATAAAGTAGACATGATAAGAAAGACAATGAGATCTTAAAATTCTTTCTATGCAAGCAAAGCTAATAAGTATCACGCCTACCATTTAAACCAAGAAGCCAAGCTTGATAAAAGACCTAAAGGTAGTTTTCCCAGCATTTTAAATATATAACCAGTCGAACCCTTAAATAGTTTCTACTAAATTACTAGTGGTTAGTAGAAATTCCTTTCAAACTAACAAAATTATTCTGCTTTTTTTATGTTCATTTCAAACCACCGTACCACGTTCGGCCAAGTCCTTTTTGAAAAACTAAAGAATTTCTAATTCTGCTTTACGTTCTAACCACACAGAAGTCAAAAGAATCAATGATTCTTAGTCGAAGTTGCATGTCATCCCTCTAGTACTATGTTCTGAACATAATCGTGGAGCAACTCAATACTAGAATGAAATAATTAAAACAGAGCGGTAACAAGTCAGATATGTGATCTGTCGTTATGCATTATCAATACTGGAATTAAAGAATTAAATCCGAGTGGTTGGAAATCAGATTGAATTTCTCTCCGCAAAAACAGAAAGTTTCCAAATAAGTAAGGATCTAAGTAGACAAAGTAGATAATGAAAGAAAATAATTGAGCATGTAAAGTCGAATCCACCACTCAGCAAGCAAGCGAAGTTGAATCCAAAGCCATGAAGGAACAAAGATTAACATTCGTGATAACCGATAAATGTGTAAAACAAATACAACCTAAAATCACAAATTAAATTCATCACACCGAAAGAACCCAAACTTAAAGAGGAAACTCAAAGATAAAATTGAAAAGAAGATTATGATGTGAAAGCAAGCGTACCTGAATAATGAGAGACTTTGGAGAGGCGAAAGGAAACACGAAAGCAGATCTCAAAGGGATAGAGAGACAGAGAGGGATTAGGGTTTGGCCTTGGGAAGAGGTTTCTAGACAAATCCATGGCTTCTGCGATACAAATATATATATATAGCCACGCAAGGTGGCCAAAGCTTGCACGTCTACGGGTCAGAAACAAACACCGCGTTGGGTTCACTTTAATCACGTGGAGTAGATGACCATTAGGCTAAGATACACAAGAATGGGTATGGGACCCGAATATGAGGGTTCTGACTCGATTCGATATAATCGGGTTTAGTTATTTTTTTTAGTGTGATGTTTGAGTTGGTTCGAGTTTAGGGTGAAAATTACTCGATCTTAAAAAATATATAATTTTATTTTATATACTTAGAAATAATTACAATAATATTCTTCTATATATAAATTTTTTCAATTATGTCACTATTTTTATTGAATAAAAATAATATTTTTATTATTATTTCGGGTCGAGTTCGAGTCGGATGAAATCTTGCTTTGTTAGTGTAGGGTGGAGGCTCCCTTGTTCTCAGATCAGGTCGGGTGGACAAAAAATCCGACCCATGCCCATCCCTGAAGATACACACTAATGGGTTAAGTTCTTCTCAAGCACATGTAATATTATTACATTTTCAAAAGTTAAATTATATATATATATATATATATATATTTAAATTATCACTTGAAAGTATTAATAAAATAATAAATTGAAATTTTAATTACAATTAAAGAGTTAAAAATATTGATTATTAAATTAATATGTAATGTTATCCCTCTAACTATATATCATAATTAATAATCAGAATATAATTTTTTATTTAATTATTATTTTATAATTTTTATTAAACAATTAGTGAATAAAACCAAAACTAAAATTATAATTTAGTGATTAAATAAACCAAGCGACATCAGTAGTAAAAGAATTGTTGTTATTTTTTGAGATATCAGATTCCATCATTAAAGAGAATATTATTCTTTTTAGGTGATTCAAATTCAAAATAATTTTATCTATATAAGTAGGTGTGAATTTATTTATATATGAAATCAAACGTTTACAATTTATAATATCTCATTGTTCTTGTATATTAAATCAAGTCAGGTCAGTTTCATGCGTGACAATTTCAATAATGATTAATTTAAAATCAATAACTTCATAATTAAATAATGGATTTACAGGAACAAGCACTAAGGGTGCAGGTTACATCAAGATATTCTCCAACACAACATACAATTAGTGGCATAACATGGAGATGTAGTCATATTGACAGATGCTTGTTTAGAAATGTCAAAACATAAGCATATGTACTCAGATTACTAGAATATGATTCTTTTCTTAGCCTGTGCTGCAATCTTTCCATTAACCATAAGCATCAGCTAGAGGCAAGCATCTGCAAAATTGAGCAAGAATCATACTTCACATCATATTCCAGGCAGCCATTGGAACGAAAAGAAAGATATATTCATTACTAAATCAATGCTATAAAATGAATCTTACTCCCAGTTTCAGTTTCACCCCCCTAAGAAGCGAAGATATCATGAAGAACACACCGTTTTGTCAGGCTCAGCGTCCTGGAATTCCCTATGGACGCTACGATGCTCCTTACCCCCACTTCGATTTAGACAGCTTCGAACCGTCATCCCATTTCCTTCCAATCCACTGCGGTACAAGTACTTCTCTTGCTTCATTTGTTCAATTTTTTTAGGAAGATTTGCTGGATTTCCCCCTTGCGTGCGTGTGAAGCAACTGCTTTATAGTTATCTTCCCCTTTGGTGCATGATCTTACTGTTTTGTTAATCTGTGTGATGTACTTATTTATAATTCGTCTTCATAACTCCGAAATCAAAACATATGTCATTATCTAGTTCATTGTCCATAAATAAAATCGATGCATCGAATATAAACTCTAGAAAAACATTACATTGTAGTTTCCCAGACTATCAACGTACTCCTACTCCTGTAGAAACGGTATGGATTGAAGCTTTCCCCTCTAGATCAATCAATCCAAGGTTTTCAAGGCCCCTTCCAAGGACCTCGACTCGACAAGAGAATCCGACATCAAGAAGAGCAAAAGAAAGTATTAAGTAAATTGAAGAAGGAAATTTATAATCCGATCCCAAAACAGATGACGAAGATATTGAATTCGTACTATCAAGATAAAAACGGGGTATGGAGAAGGGAACAGAGATACATGAAGATGGAAAAAGGTGTGCAGTTTGCTTGGAAGATTTTGAGGCCCGAGAGAACGTGATGGTGATTCCATGCAATCACATCTTCCATGAGGAATGTATCCTGCTGTGGGTGAAGGATCGCGGAGATTGTCCAGTATGCAGATTCGTGTTCAGTGAGCACATTAAACAGGCACCGTCTTCCGAGAACAACATTCTGAATGCGAATGACTTGCTCCAGAGAGAAATGAACTCGATTATAAGATCTATGGAGGAGGCTTTCTTGTGGGACAATTCGCTCTAATACATGCATATATGCATCTCTTGTGATTCACGTTATATATAATACGGGATTGTCGCTATTAGCTTTTCAACTTCATCTCTTTCTACTTTCCAATAGAGTTGTTTTCATTCTTGGTAGAGTTTTAGTTCCTGCGAGCCCATGCTGACTTACAATCAAAGTAAGAATAAAGAGTACATGCTATTAGTTCTATCTTTTCATTCTCGGTGCAGCTATATTTTGTAACGAAAAAATGGGTTGGGATAAAATGCATCCTGATTGGAAATTTTAAGGGTTAAATTGAATAAAATAATTCTTCAGATATTAAAGTGATAATGAAATATAATTTCATGAACCAAAAGACCATTTAACCCATAAAAATTTGAGGTCATTATATGAACACTTGACAAGCATAGCATCAAATGGAATATAGTAATGATTGATTAAAATCCACTTAGTCACCCTTAACTGGTTGGGTAATCCGCACATCTTGTGTTAAACTAAAAGTAGATAAAATTAGCACAAAATGGACTATAGTAATAATTGATTAAAATCCACTTAGTTAGCCTTAATTGGTTGGGCGATTCCCACACCTTGTGTTAAAATAAAAGTAGATAAAGTGAGTGGAAAAAAAGACGCTTTCACCTAATTAAGAAGAAAACAAATGGACTAGTGAGAGGATTAGGTGCATGATAGATACAAACTCACTGACATAAGTGGAAAAACATGCACTTCATCACCGCATTAGATGCCACTAAACTGAAGTGGGAAACAAATCACACAACTAGCAACGAACCCATAATCTTAAATTATGGGACGGAATTTTAAAATTTTAAAATGATAGAAATTTATAAATATATAATAATTTAAAATTTTTAAGAGAACAAAGGTTTAATCTGTATCTAAATCTATTGCTGCACACAATTGGCTTTTGATTAACGTGTGAGGACTAAAACAATAAAGTAATGGCGGCCAAAGATGTTTGATCCGTGTAATAAAAGAGACACGAAGCCAAGAAGACAAGACCATGCTTTAGTAACAGACAAAATCATCGCCACAAATACAGCTGCAGTTTCATGAGGCGGTCCCACGCGCAAATCACAGCGAAATTTAGCATTCCAAATTTGTACCGCTTCTCCACGAGCAAAACATACATGAACCTTCCATCTTTTCCCCAATTTTCTCATGTAAAATTAGCCTAACGCGTCCATTACATCCCTCTTATATATATCCTCTCCCTCTCTCTTTAACCAACCATATAACGGTTTTCTCTTTCCCTATACCTTCTCTCTTGCCTTCAATATCTTCATCAAATCTTTTCACCTTTCATTTGCTAGTTTGAGTCTTTGGATCCATGGGGAATTACATTTCCTGCACCTTGGCCACTCCCTTGATCAAGGGCGGAAAAGCGACACGTGTTGTCCTTCCCTGCGGCGAAATCCGCCAATTTCACGACTGCGTTAAGGCGGCCGAGCTTATGTTGGAGTGTCCTAATTATTTCCTCATCAATTCCCGGTCTCTACACATCGGTAAACGGTTTTCGGCCTTGAGTGCCGATGAAGAATTGGAGCTCGGCAATGTTTTCCTCATGTTCCCGATGAAAAGACTCAACTCTGTGGTGACCGCAGCCGATATGGCCGTACTTTTCATGGCGGCGAATGCTTCGGCCAAGAGAATATCGTGTGGAAACGTTAGCAACGAGGAAGAAAGCTCGATGGGAGGACCGAAATTGAGCTTGGAAGGGGTTGAAGAATTTAAGTACAGGTTATCCGTTTGTAGGTCAAGAAAGCCTTCATTAGAAACAATCAAAGAAGAGCATGTTTGCTCAAGGTGAACAAATCAATCATGTTGGGTCAGTAATACAAAGTTTACCCTTTTGGTTGATTTGCATATGTAAAAAGACCAACATGTTGTTGTTTTAAAAAAGGTGAAATATTTGAGTCAATAATTACTTTCAGGTAAAATTTAAACAATTTAGGAATCAAAATTGATCGGCGTTGAGAATGTAAACGTAGAAATTGCATTGTTTTGAGGGACCACATTTTCTCTCTATAAGGAACGGAATGGGTTGGGAAGTTGGAAATGGAGTTATTTAACTATGGATTTTTCCACCAAACGTAAGACTCTGGAAAACAACACTTTCCTAACTCCATACATTAATTGAACTAATTTCATTTCAATATGAAGATGGAAAAAAGAAAGTTGATTTAATTTAATTTTAAAAACAATATCGAAAATATATATTTACCCTTAATTTAATATAAAATTGACAACTTCAATTATCTTTTAGAAAATTTTCTTTAATTATTGGTTTTCCCACGTTCCCTGCCGAGTTTCAACTCTTCTCGTCATCGTCGTTGTTGTACCGACAAGTTTCTAAATTTCAACTCTTTCCAAGTCTGTTTCTTCCCCAAGGAAAAAAATGACATCTCCAATCTCCTTGTACCTTCTCCTCCTGGCCCTCCTCTCTCAAACCCATATCTCCTTTTCCACCACCGATCACAGCTTAAACTCAGATGTCCACGATCTGCTCCCATCGTACAATCTTCCTAGGGGTATCGTTCCCGACAACGTCAAGTCCTACACCCTCTCGTCCACCGGAGACTTCACAATAGAGCTGGAAAGCACCTGTTATGTTAACTTCGATGAGCTGGTTTACTACGACAAGACCATCAAGGGGAAGCTGAGTTACGGGGCTGTGCCCGATGTGTCTGGGATTCAGGCAAAGATGTTCTTTTTATGGTTGCCTAATGCCTGTTACTGGGATTGAGGTTGATGGGAAATCCGGTATGGTTCAGTTCTTCGTTGGAGCTTTGTCTAAGACGTTGCCTGCCCAACAGTTTCAAGATATTCCTGTTTGTAATAGTAAGCCTTTCCTGAGGGCTGACCTAATTGGTTCTGCGCGAATTCGGGTACTATTTCCCTTTCCCTTTCTTCAAGGTTCTGAATTTCATGTTTTGTTTTAATTTACCAGTTTCGATTCTTCTTTTCCGAGTTACATACTTGTGGAATTGTTAGTAGAAATTGTGGAACAGTGTACTGTTATGCACAATTTGATTTGGTACCTGTTCTTTGCGAACTCATTCTTGTTTTTCCATTTTGCAGGAGCAATTCCTTTTCCTGTCGCAAGTGGGGAATTGAAGACTTCTGGTTTGCTCAATAATTTCATTGAAGCTCTCTTATTATACTTTGTGGTTCTGTATATTTGTTTCCATCAAAATAGATGATTGATCGTACAAGTCGTGAAATTTGTATTCTACATGATGAATGTAATGATGACTGGAAAATTACTGTGATAATGGATTCTGCTTCTTATTCACAGCCATTCTTCCCCCTCTGCAGAGTATTGGATGTAGTGAAATGGAAAGGAATTTGTTTAATTTTTGCCATTGTTGTAAGCCAAGGGAAAGACGTCAAAACTTACATATAAAACGACTATATATACTGCGAGTGCCCAAGCCCCAATTCCCATAGTTATCCCCAATCCCTAAATTTCCCTCGCATCAGTCACTTCCCCCACCATCGGTCCGTCGCTAATCACTCTTCATTCTTCACTCGCCGTCACTCACAGGCGACAGACAGCCAGCCAAGCCAGGTACTCTCTCTCCGACCTTCCCTTTAACAAAAACACCATTGAGCATTGCTGTGTTTTTCATGATCCTTAACTTCATAACAGAACCAAAAGTTACAGAAAATAATTGACTACCTCTATGGAACTGCTTGTACACTCAAAATTGCTTCAAACCTATCGAAATTACACTGTAAAATTCGGGATAACTGTTTTCTTTGTTCCTTGATCATGAGTTCTGATTACTAATCTAGAGATAACAAGCTCAATAGCAACAGTTCTCTAGTTAAACTACATTAATGCTGGAAAAAAGACGAAAATCTTACACACAAATTTAGTCGAAAATCAAGGTGAAAATAGAGAAGCAAACCCTAATCTGGAAACTATTAAAAAATATGTTTGGTCATATTATATAAAAAAGGAACCTAGAATTAGTGCACGTATTAGTATTCAATGGGGAAAAAAGGAGTCCAGGTCAAACTATGACCATACAATGGAATTTGTTGTCATTTGTATTGATGCATTATACATACTCATTTAGCTAATATATTCTCTTTCTGTTGCATTCATTTATAGATTATATATAGTTGCATCTTAAGGTAGCAAGAAGTTTCAGCATTTTTGCTTTTATTTATTTATTAATGTCGATCTTATATTCAGCTCCAAAGCCTCATAGGCCACTGGTTCAAAATAGAGTTGAGTGATAAATATAGGTTGGCATTTTCATCATCTTCTTTTCAGTTAATTTGATTGCAAATGACTTCTACTGTGGCCTAATATCTTGTGTGGTTGAATTTGGGTGTTGGAAAGTGATTTAAAGCTGCTGATGAAATGGAAGGTAAATAACAAAGTGAAGAGAAAGCTGATTTGAGTTTGCTGATGATAAGTGCAGTTCAAAGTATGAAAGGATGTATGCGTGATAGATACGGTCACTCTTAAAATTTGCACATTATCAATATTAGAATCCCACACTACATCAAAATTTTGTATTAGGGATGTCTAAAACATTGTCACTGAACCACATTTATATCCGTCTGTATTTGGTGACGCAAAATTAATTGACACTTGCATTTGTCAGTGTAACTATAGGTTTACAGTGACGGTTTATTATTGGAAAGCTACAAGGAACTACGAGATGAATTAATTTTGTTGATCATGCACTTGATCAATTTCATCACATGCCGTTTTGACTTCACCGTACGAAATGGAAACAAGGTTGCACATGCAATTGTTGTGGCATGTCTAACGGACACTGTTTCATAAAAAAACAAACAAAATATCTGTCGGATAAAATGAATTGCAACTAAAAATATTTTATAAAATAAAAAAATAATATTAATGAATTAATTTAAATTCAATCTGATTATATAAATATTTTTTTCAAAATAAATTTCAAGTATTGAATTTATAATCTTGATTTGAATTCATATATATCTAAAAAAAATATAATTTAGTATATTTCAATTAGAAACAATAAGTAATTGAAATATATTTTTATTATTATTAAAAATAAAATTTATTTTCAATTTATTAAATATTTTTATTTAAAAATAAAAATGAATTCCGCGAAGTTCATTCGCATCTTTTCATGATACCTTTATTCGATCTAGGCTTATAAATTTAGGGATGTAAATGAGACGAGATAGATCGTGAGTTATTCGAGATCGACTCGATTAGGGCTCGATAAATACTCGGATTGAATGGACTCGATTCGAGCTCGACTCGAATTCTTAAAGAGGCAAAACGAGCTACTTGATACTCGACTCGAAAAGTTCGTGAGCAGCTCGAAAATATAATATATAAGATTATATTTAAAAAAAATTATTAAAAATATTAATATTTATGTATTCATTTTTTTAAAGAGAATACATTAAGATTTTCATGCATTTAAGATTCAGGTTCGAGTTCGAGTTTGAGGTTTCAATCGAGTTAAGTTTAAGATTTTTTTTTCTTCATTTTGAGCATTTTCAAGTTGCACACGAGCTTCAATTCAAGATTTCGAGTTCGAATCGAACTTAAAAATTTTAAACTCGCAAACTTTCGAGTATCGACTCGGCTCGTTTACACCCCTTATATATTATTAGCTATTATTGATCCCTGGGACGTGGCTGGCTAACAATAAATGATAATGACAGTAATAAAAAAATACTCCAACACACAAAAAAAAGGTGCATATTTTTATCGTATTTGTATACCGACATATTTAGTCAAATTTTATTACAATCCTTTGTATTATATATACTTTATGAATTTAACTTTATAATTTAATTTAGTCAAATTTTATTGTTAATCATAGTATTATATATATTATACAAATTTATTCCTTGTACTTTAGTTTGTTTACTTTTATCATTTTTTTTTGAAATTCTAAAAATTTTATTATAATCAAAATAAGAATCGTTCAATCTATTAAGTTAAAATATATCATTAGTTCATATAATATATGCAAGATGCATATTTAATTTATGTTATCCAATACATCATTTTTAATCTCTATAATTTAGTTTTATCATCTTTGTATCATTTGTTTCAAGATATAAATTTTAAAATACAAAAAATTATATGGACTAAAATGAACTAAATTAGAATATAAAGAGTAAAACTGTAACTTATACATAATATAGTACCTGATGATAGATTTTGACCCATATATTTCTGTAATGTAGTTGGAGATGATAAAGATAAGATCATAAGAGGAGAAAAAAAAATAAAGAAGCCGCTGGTTCTGAGTCAAAATGGAGTGAGTCAGATGAAGATAAACATGGTGGGCGATCCATCGCATAAAAAAATCAATTAAAGAAACAAACGCATTTCCACTCCCATGGCTTCGTTTACTCATCGCTTTCTTCTCTTCTTCTCTTTCCTTCTTCATTGCTTCACAAACATATTTCCCGTTCTGGGATTTCGATCGAGTTTCGCTTTGTTTCCCGTCGCCAAAGATGCAGCCACTCTTCAGTACGTTGCGAGAATTTCTCACGGCACTCCATTGCGATCCTCCGACCTCGTGCTTGATCTCGGCGGTTCGTTTCTTTGGATGGATTGCGATTACGGACACGTGTATTCATCAAGCAGGTTGATCTCGAGCTGCTCCGTCAACTGCTCCAGAGCAAAGTCTCATGATCTGGGAAAAAGGAGTTGCCTTTTGAACACCAACTGTTATGTGTTCCCCAACAATGGCGTGACGGGATTGGCTTCAACAGGGGAACTGGTGGAGGATACTATAGCCGTTGATACTGTTGACCTTTTAAAGGTAGGAACAACGACAACCGTCGATCACTTCCTCTTTTCTTGTGCACCGACCTTTCACTTGCAAGGTTTGGCCAGTGGCGCCAAGGGGATGTTAGGGTTAGGGAAAGCTTCCATTTCTCTGCCGTCACAGCTGAGTTCCTCGATCGGACACCCTCAAAAGTTCAGTCTTTGCTTATCGTCCTCAACCGGCGTCGTATTAACCGGCAACGGAGACGCCATTTTCGGGACCAAAACAGCAAGGTCACTCATTTACACACCCCTCGTTATCAAACAAAACGACTACTTCATCCATGTTAAATCCATCAAGATAGGTGGAAGGAGATTGAGTTTCCATGTAGGAGGTAAATTAGAGGCAAAGCTAAGCACAATCGTGCCGTATACCAAGATGGAAAGCTCAATCTTTGCAAAGTTTTCCAAAGCTTATGTGGAGGCAGCCACACGGATGAACGTGACCAGGGTGGCAGCCGTTGCTCCGTTCGGACTCTGCTTCAGTTCGAAAGGTGTTGTTGGGAACTCAATGCCTGGAATCGAACTAGTTTTGCAGAGTGAGATGGTGAAGTGGAGAATTGAAGGGAGGAATTTGATGGTGAAAGTAAGGGAAGAGAGGATGTGCGTAGGGGTATTGGATGGAGGATGGGAACAGAGTAGCCCTATTGTAATAGGAGGGCATCAAATGGAAGATAACCTTTTGGAGTTCGATATTGAGAGTTCAATGTTGGGATTTAGCTCTTCTTTGTTGTTCAAGGGAACAACTTGTTCATCTTCCTTACCAGATTCCAACCTCAAGCACTTCATCTGATTTCTGTCTTTTTTTTTTTTTTTAAGTTTTATTTTGTGAAGGCTAGCATGATAGGATCGATGGACAAGAACATGAAGAGAGAATTAAAGTGTGAATATATATATTGTTCATTAATAGATCATTGTGTATTGGATCATGCTAAAAATGCATGTTAATAGAAGGCTTGGTGATGCGAATTAGATATTTGGGTTTTTAGTAAATTACACCTTTAGTACTTTAATTATTATTTTTCTTTCATTTCAATCACTCAAATATTTTTTGTTTTAGTTTATATGTAACATTATGTTTTGATTTTATTTTAGTCATCTATTGCCAAAAATTAATGATTCAGTATCACCATAAAGTAGTATTATATCATCATTGAAAAAATGTTACGTTAACATTTCAATTAATTTTTTAACAAGTGATTAAAATGAAATTAAAATATAAATTTAGGTATGATTTTAAAAGAAAAAAATAATAATTGTCATCAAAATAAAACAAAAGTGATAGTTGAGATACCAGACGTGTACTTTACCCTTTTTTTGTATGATTGTGTATTTGTTTGCTTCGTAAACATTATTAAATATGTATTGAGGCGGTGATCATAAAGTAGTATATGTTCGAAATTTAAGTAGTATGTGTTCGAATTTTTTTTAGTTAATTATTAATACATATACATCGTATATACGTAACTACTCAACCTCATAACTTTTAACGAAAATAATATTCACTTTTACCGTTAGAATCACTTAATAAATTTTAAATATGTACTTCTTATGAAATATTATTATCATTTTCTTATTTTAATTATCAATTTTTTCTATAAAATTATTATTAATATATTTTCATTTTAGACATATTTTAAGGTCGATTTTTTCCTTTTCATCGTTAAAAATTTACATATAACTTTTAATAAATTAATACTCAACAATAAAGTGAAAATACATATTACTATTTTATTAGTCAAATAAAATCGAATCTTATAAACAGATCCATGTAACTGCCCTAAATTATTTTTTTTAAAATAAATAAAATCAAATATATTACTATAAATGATTAAACTCAATTTAATCACCGTATCGCTACCTCAAAAGGCTATCAAGAGAAACTGAACGCAAAGACTCCTACATAAGTACAAAATTAAACCACTAAATTAGGTTAGACAAGCATTATAATTCTACCAAAATTAATATTTGGGTTCGATCCTTCCCACCAACATGTTCAACTTTACTCTTTGAATAGTCTGGAATGATTACAAGGTAGTGTTTATTCATAAACTTTTTTGACACAATACACACACACCCTATGTCACAACCTGAAAAAAATATTATTAATACAAGTAATTTGGTGAAATTTGAGGGTCAAATTAAAAGTTTATAGAACTTGTAGGTCATTTTAGAAGTTGAAGAAAATTTAAGGATCTAATCCTAAATTTTACCAAATAGTATCGACATAAATTCATTATATGTGTGCAATTCGTTTCTGATTGAAATCAGAAACAAATTGCTCAAAATTCCTTCCTCCCGCACCCTACTTTCAAACTCGATCCCGACACCGTTCGACCACCAATCGTCGATCTGAAACCGTCATCGTGTTCGTCTTCGAACGGTGAACAAAACCCCATAAACCAAGTGTCGTGAAACATCGTCTAACACCGTGAATTTCGATTCAAAGTTTCAACTTTTTTTAGCACCACCGCCGTAAAAATCTTCAATTCAGCGCCGATCGTTGCTTCGTTTTCGACACCTCTCGCACCATAGTGTTCCTTGTGTTGTTTCGAGTCTGCTGGTGTCCTCCTTGTCTCCGTCGTCGTTGACGCGTGAGGGAGGTGAAGCAGTCAAAGTTTCCGACGTGTTGAAATCGAGCTCTCTAACGTTCAAAATTTTGAACCGAGCTTAGTAAGTGTCTCAAAATCGCTTAAATTATTATTAGAAAATTTTTCTGTAATTTTTCCGACTCCGTAGGAGGTCCCACGCGCCTCCCCTGCGCATGGAGGAGGTTCGAAACAGTTGGGGCAGTTGACCCGTTGACCAGGTTTAACCCGTTGATTTGACCCGATCCGTTGACTTTTGACCGACGACCGACCGTTGATCGTTGACTTTGACCAAAAAATCAATTTTTTCGAAAAATCATATTTTATATTTTTTAACGTCATGAGTCCGAATCCGAAGTCCATTTTTTCAAATTCGAACCCGAAAGCCTCCAAATTGTCAGTTAATCCCATTGACTTTAACTTTGACCAAAAAGTCAAAAATTTCGAAAAGTCATATTTTATGTTTTTTGACGTCCTAAATCTTATTTCAAAGTCCGTTTTGTCAAATAAATAATCAAAAATTTTGAGATATGATTATAGAATTGATTCAATAAGATATTTTATGAAGGTACTCGTGTTTCACCTGAGCGATGATCAGTTAGGTCTGGTATTGTCCGTTCGTCAGATCTGCCAGATCTGCGTAATACAAGAATTACCCGTAGGTTTCCGTAAATTATTTAAATAAATGTTAAGATTATTCATGTTAGGTTTCCAATATGATTTTTTTTCCCGATTTGTATGATCTAGCGCTGCAGCAAAGCGTGATCGACAAACTCAGTAATAGGCTTTCCTATCCGATTTCTCAGACTGTTACAAGTGTGCTTCCTGATGGTGTTACCTTATAGTTTATTTGATATCTGATTTATGGCGCACTTCTGATATGATTTCTGGTTACAGTATATTTTTATACCTAATTTTTGAATATGGCTTATTCGATATATAATTTATCGTACGTTACTGATTTAACTTATGATTTCCGTATTTTTGTATATGATTTCCAAGCATAAAACATTTTCATGTTTTAAAGGATTAATCATCGTTTTCACTTGAACACATTCATGGTCATTGGGGGTATTGTTGGAGGAAGTATATATGCAGGCTCCTCGGCTTTGTGCTCAGGGCCTTACTGTTGTGCAGGGGTTGTATGGTTATGGGGAACCTACACATTCTGATGTGATCAGATGGGGGTATTGTTCATATTTTTAAAAACATGTTTGATAAACTAATTTTACTGAAAATTTTTATATGTATGTTTTTTATACACTGTAAGGAGCACACTGGGATTTTTAGCTCATTCTGGAAATTTTACCCTTTTCAGATAATAACAGATCGTAATCTAGCAGATTTGGCATCAGGGGAGATCAACTACTTTTACTTTTGTATGACCGTATATCTTTATATGTTTTTTAGTTGTATTTGGTGACATGCATTTTGCTATCATTTTGGATATATCCGTATTTGTAACCCCCCCGGACCCGGTCTGTAAGATAGACCCAAACCTAAGTGGTCACATGTCCCATTCAGAGTTTTTTTTAAACAACTAATAATACATTAGATATAATACAAAACAAAATATATATCCAAAACGACAGCAAATACATGTCACCAGATACAACGGAAAACATGTAGAGATATATGTTCGTACAAAATAAGTAGTTGATCTCCCTTGATGCCAAATCTGCTAGCTTACGATCTGCTATTATCTGGAAAAGGGTAAAAACTATAGAATGAGCTAAAAAGCCCTGTGTGCTTCAAACAATGTATAAAAACATTTTAATAAAATATTTCAGTAAAATCATTTCATCAAACATGTTTGTTTTATTTAAAATATGAACACTACCCCCATCCGTCACGAACAAAATGTGTAGGTTCCCCATAACCATACATCCCGTCACGTCCAATAAGGCCCTGAGCACAAAGCCGAGGAGCCTGTAAGTATTCTTCCTCCAACAATTTCCCCCCAATGTCAGTAATAAACAAGTATGTATTCAAGTAAAATTGGTGAATAATTCATGCTTTAAAAAAACATATATCGAAATACAGAAATCAGATATCAGGAAATCAATATTCAGGAATCATGTATCATGTCATAACAGTATTATGAATTATCACCAATCTAAAATAATATTTTTAAAACAGTAAAATAACACTGTCATGAAACACACTTGTAACAGTCTGAGAAATCAAATAGGGAAGCTTATTACTGGTTTTGTCGATCACGCTCTGCTGCGGCGCTAGATCCTACGAATTGGAAAAATCCATATTGGAAACCTAATATAAATAATCTAAATATTATTTAAATAATATAAGAAAACCTACGGGTAATTCTCGTAGTACGCGGTTCAGGCTGATCTAACGAACGGACAACACCGGACCTAATTGATCCATGCTCAGGTGAAACACGAGTACCTTCATAAAATATTTTTTATTGAATCAATTCCTTAATCAAATCTCAATTAAATAATCAAAATATTAAAATATAAAGCCTTTTGGTTTTACAAGCTCGATTCGGGAATTTCGGGTCAGAATTTGGCAAAACGGACTTCGGAATCAGATTTAGGACGTTGAAAAACATAAAGTATGACTTTCCGAAAATTTGAATTCTTGGTCAAAATCAAAGTCAACGGGTTTGACTGACGATTCGGAGACTTTTGGATTTGAATTTTGTGAAACCGACCCCAAAAAGGGATTTGGGACGTCGAAAATTGTCAGGATATGTATTCTCGAAAAAGATTAACGGCTGTTTAATAGCCGGTCAAAGCCGGTCAAAGTTCTGGTCAAAGGTGGTCAACAAACTGTCAATTATTTTACAGAAATAGCACCATTTTTAAAATAATTACCAAAATAGCACCTTTTCGAATTAAATTCCAAAAAAGCAATTTTTCAAATTAAATCCCCAAAATAGCACTTTTTTCCGAATAAATTCCCAAAATAGCACTCTTTTCGAATTAATTCCCAAAATAACACCTATTTCGAATTAATTCCCAAAATATCACCTGGTCAACGGGTCGGGTCGGGTCAAAACCGGTCAAATCGGTTCAAACCGGTTAAACCGATTTTCCAGTTATTCACTCGCCCTACGACGGCGCGTGGGACCTCCTCCGGGGCTCTAAAAACACGGAAAAATTTCTAAAAATTATTTTGAGCGATTTCGAGATACTTACAAAGATCGGTTCAAATTTTTGAACGGCGGAGAGCTCGATTTCAACACGGCCAAATCTTTGACTGCTCCACCTCCTCACGCGCCGCTGTCGACGGAGACCAAGGATGACACCGACGGACTCGAAACGGCACAAGGAACACGATGGTGCATGAGGTTTCGTAAACTGAGCAACGACCGACGATGAATTTAGGATTTTCTAGGCGATTGAGCTAAAAAAACGT